CTACAATGAATTGTGTTGCCATGCTGCTGGTCCAGCTCCTACAAGAGCTCAATCTCTCTATAGCAGTCTTCATACTTCTCCCAATTTCAGATCTCTAAGAGAGTGTAGAGAAAGCTCTACCACCTCCCATTTTTTATAGTGAGTTCCTCTTAGAGAAAATTTTGTCTCTTATTAGTGAGGTTAGACTCGACTTAACATAATGAGTCTAATTTTAATTATATCCTAGCTGGAGGTCTTGTTTTTTCCTTCTAAATTTTCACTCTTTAAAAATTATGGGTAACTCCTTGGGTTCTTTCTGTCCAGAGGAGGCCCATTAATTCTTGTTAATTAACTCTTTCCTTTTTGCCCTTGCTTATCACTATATATATATATCTGTTCTTCAAAAATTAATGCTAAAACTCATTGATCACACTAGTAGAACATTTTCGGTAGAGCGTAAGAATGAAGTTGTCTTGTGAATTGAAATAAGGTGTAAAGCTATAAAGCAGTTGAGGGTTTTGATATCTTTCAATTGGGATGTAGAAATGGCAGGAGGATTCAGGCAGACAGATTGGCGGTCGACCGCGTTCGTGCACGAGACTTACTGGGCGTCAGGATTGGTGGCGGTCGACCGCGACGGTCGACCGCAGAAGTTTCTGTTCTGTGGGCGGTCGACAGTCGCGGTCGACCGCAGAAGTCTCTGGACAATTGGGGTTGTTCTGGATTGAGGGCGGTCGACCGCCGAAGCGGTTTTAGGCTGAGTCTGTTTTCCAGACCCGTTTCGTTTGGGTTTTCTATAAATACCCAAACTCGATTTTAGGGTTTGTAAGGCAAGTGTTTTGAGCTGTTGAAAGGAGTTTTCTTTGGGCTTCTATTCTAGGAGCAATTGGAGAGATTGAGAGTTGATTTGTTGAGGGTTTATGAGTGATTTGTAACCCTAGTTTGTTCCTCTTGATTTCTAATAGTGAAAACTCCCCCCTCCTTGCCCCGTGGACGTAGGCATCTCGCCGAACCACGTAAAATCTGGTGTTTGATTGTTTGTGCTCTTGTTGGTGTGTTGGTTTATCTCTTTCGGCTATTTGGTTGGATCTCGGCATAGGGGTTTCTCCCCAACATGGGACACTTCGATATCTCACTCTTCTTTAGCTTCTGATGGAGATTTTTTTTAATTGATTATGGTTAATGTTTCATGTAACTGTTAGGAAATCAGATACGCTCTGATATCCGTTGTTGGGGATTCAAGCTACCAAACGTTAGTACAACTATTGCTCCTTAGCTATTCGACCACCTGTCAAATATGAACCCTCTGCGGAATTTACCCTACCAGATCTTGTGTTAAGGAATAGAAAAAAGAAATCACAACAAATCAAAAAATAACAATAACAGAGAACACCGAGTTTTAACGAGGTTCGGTAACTTGCCTACGTCCTCGGGAGCCACACAAATAATTTCCTTTATATTAAAGAAGATTACAATTACAAAACTTGTAAAAGAGGAGATCTTAACTTGAGATCTCTCAAAAGAAGCAAACAGAAAAACTATTTGTTGCTCTTACAAAGGCGTGAGATTTTACAACAGTAAAATCTCCTCTCTCTCAAAATTTCTATAGGAATTACTCCTTAAATGAATGAGATTTTCCTCTGAAAATCTCGAGCTCAGTTAATGGCCGCCACCATAATTAATCGCTGAGAAGAAAACGGAACGGGGGCACAGTTCTCGTGCTCATGGGTTTCCCTTAAATAGGAAAACTCTAGCCTACATTTGTGTTCAACTGTTTCCCAACAGCGCGGGCGAAGAAACAAAAAAGGGGGAGGCGAACTCAGGACTTCGCCCGCACTTCG